CTTGACCATAGCAGGCAGGGGATGCACTACAAGATGGAGAAAATCTAGAAGGAAAGACTCTCCCCTCCTAAATTCTCCAGACAATCAGCACTCTATTCTCCAACGCAGCTGCATAAAGCCAGAGAAAGAAGCAATAAAAATCCTGATTACTGAGATTCAGGTCAAGTGCGCATTTAATGTAAGACATAAATCTGTTTTATGTTGGCAGGCCCTTATAATACAGAACCAGAAAGAAAAGTGTGGCGGTACCCTGCTTTCCCCAGCATGGGTGGTCACTGCAGCTCACTGTTTGGAGTACACCCATCCCAAACAGCTTCGGGTGAGGCTGGGTACGTATCTTCCTCTCTTCGTGTTATTGAGCTGTGGTTGTGGTGGCAGCTTCTCAGCCTGAAAAAAACAGAGTAGAAGAAAAAAAGTGCAGGCTTTGGTAGGATGAGAGAATTGTCCTTAAGAAGCATCAAACTAGAAACCCCTTATCTCTGTGGTCTTCTGAGGAATCAGGGAGCTTCCTGATATGACCTGTGTGATTTATAACTTTTCCAGGTGAACACGCAATAAATTACGATGAGAAAACTGAGCAAGAAAGCGGAGTTGCCAGGATAATCATTCACGAAGGATACACGAATGGACAAGTCAATAATGATATTGCCCTCCTGCATCTGGAAACACCCGTGAACCTCACTGATTATGTGGTGCCGATATGTTTGCCCGAAAAACGGTTTGCGGTGTATGAACTGTCCTCCATCAAGTTCTCCACAGTGAGCGGATGGGGACGCCTACTAGATGGAGGTGCCACCTCTTCTGTTCTGATGAGAGTCAACTTGCCACGTGTAAAGACACAAGAATGTGAGAAAGAGACCGATTTAAATATTACAGAGAATATGTTCTGTGCAGGAGACCTGACCGGCATTAAAGACTCCTGCAAGGGAGACAGTGGTGGACCTCATGCTACGAAGTACAAGAACACTTGGTTTCTGACTGGGATTGTCAGCTGGGGAAAGGGCTGTGCTGTTAAAGGCAGCTATGGGGTTTACACAAGGGTATCCAAATACATCGACTGGTTGAAGAAGCACATGGATTAATGATGCTGAACCAGAGCATTTCCAGACCATGTTGTTGCCCCTCAAGCCCTCTGTGACATTTCCTATTGAAGGATTCCTTCATCATCTTAGATACATGATACCCACACCAGTATTAATGATTTGAAACGAGCCTAATGCCTACTTGAATATATAAAATAACTTCCTTATCAGTATTGTTTGTAATCTTGCATGTCTTGTCAAGCGGGCACAGAACGGACAGAACAAATCTGACTCCAAGTCCCTCTTGTTCTGCTTCCATTTTCAGCTAAGGGACAGAGCTAGATGCTGAGAGAAAGACTGTCAGCAACACATCAAGCACAACACGATCCTTCCTCCGGCTGCCCTCCCAGCTTCTGGTAATCAGTGATGTACAGACTTCCTGAGCCAGAAGCTGCATTAGGTTGAATAGTCATGAATGAACCTGTTGTCCACAAATGTGTGCAATCTCTTTAGACCACGTTTATGCTTCTGGCTTTCACAACTTCCTCTGCGGATGGGTCCTGCAATGTCATGATGCAATAGCAGAAGATACAGAAAAAGTGTTTCTTTTAGCTGATGTTAAAGTAGCTTTCTCCAACAGCTGCAGTGGCAACAGGTAGACCTGAGGGGGAGGAACTCTAGAGAGTCTCCAGGACAGGAAAGCCAGGAAAAAATTAATTCCGCATTTACAGGTCTGCTGTGAAAATTTGGTTTTAGTCTTCTTGCATCAAGCATTATTGCAGCAAGGCTATTAAGTGTAATATTTAACCTTATGAGTGGTGAAAAATACCACTGATTTAATCTTACCTTTGCCTTGATACTCTGCTCATCAATACAGAAGAGGGCAAATGAAAGAGAATGTTTGTTTAATTTGCTGTCCAGTATAATCTAAATTGTACTCTCTGTCCTCAGATCTAAAACCAGAATAGGATAACTGTGTGGCCATCCGCAAAACACTGGCCAAAGATCATTCTCTAAAGCCTTAATACGTAAATGGTAGAACGTGAAGCACTCTGAAAACACCATCAACTGTGCTATTAAAAAATGTACCTTCTAATCTAAGCATGAAAACCATGGAAGGGTGAGTGAGATAAAACTGACCAGCAGGTTAGAAAACAGTTGAAGTATCTTACGCAAAACTTACACTTTGGATTCATTCAAATCACGCTTAGTGTCAGCTCAATCACAGAAGTTTCTCGACAAGGAGGACACTTACAGTAGTTGACCGTATTCTGTCATTAGGGGAAAACATTTACATTAGGTGGTACATATACCATGCAATACTGAACACCCTATAACTTGCTTTACTGACATAGAGGAACGGTGTACCATTCATTCAAGTAGTGAAATGAACTGCAAAAAGCAGCAAATTCCAGAGACTTGAGAAACAAGGGGTCTTACAGTATGAAAACATATCCCAGAGGTTCTCATTACTCCTCAAAGGAAAGCACATATGCCAGCAGAATTCCCAGGGAGGGAGGTGACTGGGAGCAGCGACCAGCAAATAAAGTCGCATTTGATTATTTAGCCTGAAGAAGAGAAGGCTGAGAGGGGAACCTTATAAATGCCTATAAATATCTCAAGGGTGGGTGTCAAGAGGATGAGGCCAGACTCTTTTCAGTGGTGCTCAGCGACAGGACAAGGGGCAATGGGCACAAACTGAAGCATGGGAAGTTCCGTCTGAACATGAGGAAGAACTTCTTCACTCTGAGGGTGACGGAGTACTGGAACAGGTTGCCCAGGGAGGTTGTGGAGTCTCCTTCTCTGGAGATATTCAAGACCCTCCTGGACGAGGTCCTGTGCAGCCTGCTGTAGGTGACCCTGCTTCGGCAGGGGGGTTGGACTAGATGACCCACAGAGGTCCCTTCCAACCCCGAACATTCTCTGATTCTGTGATTCTGTGATTTTCACTCAGCGCTGCAAACCCATCCCTCCAGACCCCTCCAGCTACACTAGTTTTGGGCTTTCCGTGCTCGGTAGGATGGTTCCTTTTATGCAACGTTCCGGTGTAAATATTGACGTTCATGAACAGAGCATCACCTTGCAGAAAAAGGGTGAAACGCTGAAAGAAAATGACCCATATTAATGGCTGCACAGAGAGATTTTTTCAAAACAAAGCCAGGTTTTAGGTGGCTTTTTTCAAAACGAACCCAAGTTTTAGGCATGTCTTTAATACCACAGCCTGTTGAAACAGGCCAAGGCGACGAAGGAGGACCGACGGCCGGCTCTGGAAGCAGCGAGGACGCGGCCCCACAGCGCACAGAGACCTCACCGGGCACAACCCAGGGACACCCCCCCCAAAAAAAAAGGGGAGATGGAGACCAGGTCCCGGCGAGCTGCGGGCCGGGTCAGCGGGCCCT